TGAGAAGAGAAAACCCACTGTAATATTCCAAAGGATGAATGTAGTGACACTTTAAAACTGCCATTTTAATTACAGGACAGATGCATACAATATTTTAGTCCTCTGATTGTTCTGATGTTTAATTTCCTAGTCTAGATAATAGCTATGCTGGATGGTAAGCGGTGGCCGTTCTTCAGACACAATAAAACGTTCCCTACTTTTTATCTCTTTTGAAACCTCCTGAAAGTGTTGGTTAACAGCATTGGAAATGCAAGGAAGAAATGGGGCACAATCACAGCATGTACCAGTCATAAATAACTAATGAAGGCAGACGATATATAGGCATATTACATAGAAGTTTAGTACACATGCAAATCTCTCCCTCTCTGCAGTATGCTTTCAATATCTGCAAAGGCAAGGCGTACAGTTTCTTTAAGAAGGAGCGAACACAAATAAGCATTTAAAGAAAATAGCATTCGGCATCATGGGTTCTAGGCCTAGTTCTGCCACTTACTGATCTCAGATGATCTTTAAACAAGGATTCTCTGAGTCCTTGACTCTTTCTCTGTGAAATGAAAGGATAAGCCTAGAAAGTTCAAAGACCTTCATGTTTCTAAAGGTTTCTGAGTATTTATTTCTCATTAAAATGCTAGAAGGGAAGTGCGTGTATCCTAAACCCCAAATATCAGCTTAACAGTATGCTGGAGAGCAGTTTGTACGGCCCTTTCCATGACATATGGACTTTTATAAACTTAACCAGGTTAAGTTGCTTTTGGGACACTAACTGAGAACCCCACCTGTCACCCTTCTGCTTGTCCTTTACATAATCTTGTAAAGTTATGTTCTCTAAGGCTCAAAGGCTGGGTTCACCAGAAATCCACAGAAAATGTATATTTAACCATATTTGATGTTTAGAGTCTGTCTTATATATCTTTGGTTAGTATCATTTTTAGATTGCAATTATCTATTAGAGAATTTGGAAAACACAGAAAAGGTCAGAGAAGAAAATAACTATCATCCTGTCTCTAGAGATAGCATTTTAAAAAATTGACATTTTAATTTTTGTGGATGTGGGTGAGATTTAAAAATAAAGGATATACACATACATTATTATGATGTATTCATTATACAATATACATATTTATAAATTTAAAATAATATATGCATATACATTATTATACACAATATGTACACATACATTACTCTGAATTAAAACATTGAAATATTCA